TCAAGAAATACCAATCCTGCCTCAGGAGAAGTGATAATGATCCAGTCAAATTTAGTGTCTGCAGTAGTCAGTAAACAGATCAACAGAAATTCGCTTAGATATAAGCATTTCAATAAGTCTACAAATGATAAGTGCTGAACAGGGTATGATAATGATTAGCCAAAGTAGCAGGATACAACTATACTGTGCTCACACGAAATTCATGAAGAGAATTAGAGGTCGAGTTACCCAATATCTCAAGGTCATATAACCATCGATCAAATGAAGCTTTGGATGTTATATATAACTAAGATTAAATTTATTAAACACAGAACCGTCAATTGAATCTTATCTATCATCTCTGAAAGAATAATCATTCCTTAATTCAAAAGTATTGGAATATGAAGCCATTTCCATATGTGTAAAAAAAATATATATTTAAAAAATAAAAAATAAAAATAAAATAAAATAAAAAACATGCAATGATCTCTTAACTAACACATCGTTCCTGAGGACTGTCTTCACTTACTTAAGGGTGCCATGTAAACAGAAATTAACTTATAAGAATAAATAGAAAAATATTCATACATAGAAAATGGTTGGTGCACAGGTTTTCTGACTAGATTCTAAGGTATGAGACTTAATAGAAGCCACCTCCACTCATTTCCAACACAATCCTCTTTCCCTAGCCAATCTAATTAACCAAACAGCTTTCAAATTTTAGGACTACTACAATTGACTTTTAAAGTTAAAGACAATATGTTGAGTATTCTAAAACAATATCATAATTGTTAGCTCTGAATTCAAGGTAAGACAATATGTTGAGTATTCTACAACAATATCATAAATTGTTAGCTCTGAGTTCAAGGTAATGATAATTTGTAGGATAGACAAGTTAACAGAATTAGTTAAAGATAATGTGATAAAATACTTAAACACAGCCACAAACTGTCAAGAGAAGAGCCAGTAATATACCAATTAATGTTGAGGGAAGCTTGTCTAAGTCAGGGCCCTGTGCATGTTCAATAAGAGGAAATTCCAAACAGTGAATGCCATATTTTTCCTACAGCAAAAACTCGCAATGTCAATACCAGAAGACAAACAGTGGAAGCTATTTCTATGCCAGACTTTTAAAACTAGAAAAATAAAAAAAATAAAAAAAATAAAAAATAAAAAAAGGAAATTGGCAAACACCAAAATGTCTATAATCGATTATTCAAGTATGGTTCAACCATATGTCATTTCCAAGATATGCATAAATCTCAAAATCAATTAAATGCAAAGACTCCAACATTGCCATATGCTATCAAATTATTAACACGAATATGTATAGCTAATAAAATTTGAACAAAGAGTGCCCACTTACAAGCACATGATTGATTCATTGGGCTTTGGACATCTTTGAACTGTAACTTGTATGGACACCGACATTTGCCAAACTTTCGTGTTTTAGGACTTCTATGACTGCTCGCACTGTCAGCCATAAAATCATGGCCCTTTATTGCTAAGAACTCAAATGACTTGTTCGGCTCCTCTGCTAAAAAAGAAAACGCAATAGCAAGCAGAAGGTTCTAATCAAGAGAGTTTTACTCAAGATCTCTCTTTGCAGTCAAATAGCCATATTAACTAACTTCTATATTCAAAATGAAAGGAAAATAAAAGGGCTTTTCCATTTATTAAGGGTGTGCTCCTAGCTTAAGAATTAAAGGGCATTAGTGTACTTATTAATGTACTTAAATTTTCAAAAAATAGACAAATGAGAAGAAAAAATGAAATTGAGGATATTTCAAAGGTGGAGATCGTATGGTTTTACACATCACAAACTTGTTTCACATGAAAGATATGGTGATCTTAGGGAGTTATATGAGGAAAATGAATAACAGGAGAATTATGGGAGGGCAGTTCATGAGTTAGAAGTAGATATTATTTGTATTTCGTAAGTTCCTGCTAATGACGATTTATGTTTAGCACCAAGTTGCTCTTATAAATCATGGTCAAGTTCTTAAAGAACAATGTGGCATCACATCACCACATAATTAAAACAACAATACTCCCTCTGTCCGGGATTAGTGTTCACATTAATAATCCAAATTACATTACCAATGAGCAATTAATTCCAGACGGAGGGAGTAGCATTCACTCCGAACAAAGGGATTAAAAATTTTAAGGTTTGATTTCTATATTGAAGTACAAATAGAGTTTCGAGTAATATCATCTTGTGATCATTCCTATAGTACTACTTTGTTAGTAAACAAGCAAATTAAACGAAAAATACGTATCTCAAAGTTGAGTAGACCAAATTGTCAATTGCCGCGTCGTGGAAACCACGGACCTAAAAGACGATTCCGCACTACCCCGGTGCAGTAGACATCAAGTGGTCGCCCTCTAGGATAAGCACGGCGCCGGAATTTGTGTGCACTCACAAACCCGACTAGACCCAAAATACTTGCCCAAAAACCGAAGGGATATTTTTAAGAGAAGGTAAGAAAGATGGCTGATTTTTGTTATGTATTTTGGAGGTGTATAAGGTTGATTTATAAGGCAATGGAGGGAGCAAAACGACCAGCAATTAAGGGGGAAACGGTCATCAATCAAGTGGTGTAACATCCACCCATTAATCCCCCATAAGAGCTAGCTTTAACCAACATTAAAAGGTGTAACGGGTAGTCTTTAGCCAACAACATTAATCAGCAATAATACCCATTAAAATAGCAATAAGAGGAAGCTAAAATCAAGGGATCCCAATAGTCATTAAATCCCAACAGTCAAAAGAATAAATATCGTAACTTTCTTTGTTTTTACTTCAAGAACTTCCAACATACTTAACCCATTAATCCCATTATCTGTAATGATTAATGTGTTATTCTGGATACACCATTCATTCGGCCTGGTAAGACACTGCATATTAACATTTCAACATTGACATTCAATCCTTTGTTCTCAATTCAATTATCGGGTCTCATATACGACTTATAAAGAACAATATTCAATTAAATGATCCTTTTGAACTGACAATGCATATATAAACCGCACCAATTGAACAAAATACTTCCAATTCTCCAAAATTTCCATCTCACAACAAATTATCCCCAACCCCTCCACATTCCGATTAACCCCAAATTCCTATTTTGGCACTAATTAAACAAATTTCTAAATCAAACCCTTAAATACCCATAATTGGAATCAACTACAGCAAACCAAAACGCATAAAAAGTAACTCCAATAAATCAAATAAAGGAGCAATTTCAATTACAAAAACGAAATGCAGGGAAATTGAACAATGGAATTTGAATCAAGCTAAGTGACATTACCAAAGCATTGACGAGCTTGGCATTCTTGCCACGTTCCCTGGTAACGACAACTTTAGGGTTCAACTGCGAAGATGAAGATGCTCGGATTGAAGGGCAAGGAAGAAGATGTTGATGACGAAGCTTCGTGAAAGAGGAAGGAGAAGTCAAAAATGGAGGAGAGAGGAAAGTTTGAAAAGTGAGAGAAGCCATTTTCGGACAAACTGGAAAGGAGAACTTGGTGAATAAACCGCGACCTCGGCTTCCTAAACGGGGAATTGCCGGGCAATCTCTATGTTTAGTGAATTTTGTTCATATTAGGGGTGCTAATCGAGTTGAGCATCTCATGAGCAACTTGAACTCAATTCGATCAAAGTTCGGTCAAAATTCGGCTTGAGTTAACCCGACTTGAAAGGTTAACGAGCACGAGTTCGACTCGATAGACTCGTGAGCAACTCAATGATATTTTTTATTAGTATATAATTTACAAACGAAGTTATCATGTTTAAAATAATTTGACACTTGATAAAAGTTAATTAATATTATAAAAAAGAAAGAGTATATCTTTAATAATAAATAATTAATTAAGGAAAATATTTAAATTGAACGAAAAAAATAAAGGCCTATAACTTTAAATTAAAAGGACCAAAATATTAACGAGCAGATCGTGAGCTACTCGACTCGATTCGAAACTTTAACGAACACGAGTCGAGCAAGTTTTATTGACTCAAAACTTTAGCGAACACGAGTTGAGCACATGGAAAAAGTTTTCGAGTCGAGTTGAGCACCCCTCATCTAGTGATCGACTCGCTCGATTAGCACCCCTAGTTCATATCATCTTCTCCCTCCGTCCTAAAATATCTAGAATGTTGGACTTTTTTCACTAATTATGTATTAGCTTTGACCATAATTTTTTACTAATATAATAAAAACATATTTTATAATAAAATATGTTGTTAGATAGGTATTAATATAAAGTTTTATAATATAATTTTTAAATAATTTTCATTAATATTTAATTATATAAAAATAAAGTCAAAATAGTGCATTGACATGTGTACAAATTTAATTGTGTCATATATTCTGAGACAAAATAATTGCTGAGGGTGAATTTTTTAGAGTAAGCCATTAAAAAGGTAATATTGACTAATATTTCGGGCACTTAAACGGTGTATCATATTTATTTGCTCAACTCTGATGTTAAAAGTTATCTGTATTATGTAAGCCAAGGTGTGAGGTAGTGGTATCCTTTCAAAATACTTAAAATGTCCATAATTTTATATTATTCTTTTAAATTAATTGGTGTATATAAATATAGAAATCTAAAGCAGTTTAACACGCATCCTATACATATAGGTCAAAATTTGTTGGAGATAGTAAAAGTAAAGAATAATTAGTGTAACAACAGTTAATGGCCAAAGTAAGAAACAATAAAGAATATGTAAAAGTGGGGTTAGTAGAAATTGAAATATATATCTAATAAAATCATCAAACACTTTTGGTTGCTTTGAATATACAAATTTGATAGAAAAATCGATGTACTATTATTGTACAACACCTAGTTTAATGGTCATTAACTAGCTAATTAAAAATACACCTTTAAGTGTTCAACAAAGACTATTAAGCAGTAATTAAGTAAATAATCTCACAAAATTCAAGAAGTACAAAGCATGAAATGTCAAAGTTGAACTAAGAGAAAAAGTCTTGTTTGTAGTGCAAAAAGGATCAAATTAATTAAATTTTATTCTAGAAGAAAGAATAATACCATTGACTTATAATCACAAGCCTAACATAAGTTCTAACCCATCAAATCCAACGTTGAACAATCAACTTTATATTAAAATCTTCCATTTTAAATGGCATATAGTAATATTATTACATTTTATTTTCTATTAATATATTCTATGCACCATGCAAAACCTAAAGTATTACCTCTCTCAACACCCTACAATAACAAACTTCCGTTGGAGTCCAACACAAACATGGTTCTCAACTTGGTACTTTCTAGTCATTACATTAACTTCCTACACCATCTTGTCCTTTTTCCTCCACCACACACTCACCTTCCTCCTCCCGAACCGCCGTGGCTTCTACATCCCCCTCGGCCCCATCCCCGCCATCCACAACCTCCTAGTCTCACTCCTTTCCATCACCATCTTCATAGGTACTCTCCTTTCCACTACTGCTGAAATCCACGACAACACGCGTTGGCTTTGGCGTTCCACCCACCTCCGTACCACCCCCGTTAAATGGCTCCTTTGCTTCCCACCCGGGACTCGTCCCACGGGCCGTGTCTTCTTTTGGTCCTACACATTATACCTCTCTCGTCTCTTCCTTCACCTCCCCCAAACCTTCCTCAAAATCCTTAAACGTCGTCATGTTACGTTCTTCCACGTCTTGAACCAATCCTCTCTTTTGCTCATGTCCTACCTATGGCTCGAATTCTCTCAATCTTTTCAAGTGCTCGCGATACTTCTCTTAACCTTGCTATACGGCGTCGTTTATGGATACAGGTTTTGTGTTGTTGTTGGTTTTCCAAAACCTAGGTTTCTGTTTCTTGTAAACTGTCTAGTTGTGTTGTTGGTTTGCAACTTAATTTGCCACGTTGGAGTGTTGTTGTTACATTTTTTTGGTGGTAATAAAGGAGGGTGTAACGGTATAGGAGCTTGGTTGTTTAATTCCGTGTGTAACGGGTTAATATTTCTTGTGTTTTTTAAGGATTTTAAGTAGAGGTTTAGTAGAACAAGTTTGCTAGATGATGATTCTTCAACTCATCATCATTCGTCAAGACACGTTAAAGAAAAGGAGACGTGAGTTGTCCATCGATTTTAGTAGAGCAACTCAACCAAAAGATTAAGCTAATGGTTGAAACCAAACAATATGTTTTATACAGCTGGTGATTGCGGTCTAAAGCCGGCGTTTTCGTTTTCCGTTTGTGTGCTACCTTAGGACTGCATTAGTACATTGGTACTAAATCAACGATTGAAACAAATTAACTAATTTATTAACCATGGCATGTTGCCTACGTAAAAAATACAGTAGAATTTGTAGATTACAATGGAGTAGTGGTATTTTGTTGACTAATTACCAATATTCGTATGATATTATGCTACGTATTTAATCTTGATTCATACTTGGTCTTTGTGATGCCTGATCAGGTTATTTATTTATAAGCATCTTATGTCACCCCTTAATTAATTTACTTTCTTACTTTCTTTTTATGAATCGAAGTAATCCTTCCGTTCCAAGTAGAGGTGTCAAAACCGAACTGAACCGAACAAAATCATCCGTTTTGAATTGTAATCGATCCGATTTGATCTGATAAACTCTACGCCCAAACCCGATTTGTAACCGAACTGAACTCAACCCAAATTCGAATTTAACCCGATTTGAACTTAACCCAGCACCGATTTAATCCGACTTGAACTCAACCCGACACCGATTTGAGCCGAATCGAACTCAAATCGAACCAATTTGACCCAACTTGAACTCAATCTGAACCGAAATTGACCCGACAAACACCCGATTCAATCCGATCTGTTTTTTATACGAACTGATATTAACCCGACCTGATTTTGACTTTACATGATTTCAAACTAACCATGACTTTAAACCTAACTTATTATTTAAACATATATCAATGACACGATATGGAAAATAACACATGAATAACTTGATATCGACCCAATAACAATATATATATATATATATATGTGTATATATAAACTCAATAATTACTCTTGTTTCGAGGTTTTATGGAATCCCTCGGGATACAGGTCTTGAATATAGCCGGACAGCCGCAGACACCTGTAAAACAACGAATATTCCGTTTGAAAGAATATTCGCTTCCGATGATTAAGTTAGTGATCGAAAAACGAAAATATTTAGAGAGAGAAAGTAGAGAGAAGTTAGAGCAATTTCTATGCAATAAAGATGTCTTAATCCACCCCTCCCATCATAAATGATTGGGGTATTTATAGGGGTGGAAATGTGTGTCATCTAGGGTTTAGTGACCTAGAATGGTGTGCTCTGATTAGCGGGGCAATCAGGTAGGGACAGGTGTCCTATGGGGGCGCCGTCATGACGCCCTTTTCGGGATTTGGGCCTCCAAATGTAAGGAGGCCTTTTCTCTTTCAGGAGCTCCTATGTTTGGCCATATGTCATCTTTTTATTAGGACATGTGTCACCCTTTTATTGAGCCACGTGTCACTATAGGATTGGACCACGTGGTGGGATATATTTTACCCTAAACATTTTCCCCTCAGAGGGAGTGGCTCATACGTACCATATGGACCGCCTCCTCTGATTTTCACTTGTCCAGATATGTCCTAGTACTAGGCTCATGAGAAATTCTTTTGGAAGGGGCGGACTGTACTGTCCGTCTGAATTCGGGGAGAATCCTCTTTGGGCTAAATGCTCTAGGCCGTCCGCCTGATCTCACTTGGGGCTAAAGCCTTAAAATCAGACGGGCGAGTGGTGCCGCCTGCTAGTAGGTGAGGCACCTGCCTTCCGTATTTTTTGGACCAACGGTTCACATTAAGTGACGTGGCCGTTTATTCTGACATGTCGTTTGAATAACCATACGCCTTCTCCATCTTTATTCACGGAGCGATTTTTTAACTGTTTGGGCTTCTAGGTTTAGGTTTTTCAAAAAGAGTCATTTGAGCTTCTAGGCGGGAAAAGTAATTTTACCATTTTAACCCCATAAATTTCGCCTATATATAGAACTTGTTTGACTTCATAAAATCACTTTGGAACTTTGCGTTTCCTAGAAAGAGGTCAGAGCTTCTAGAGAGAGAAAGTGACTTTTCTTCCCAAATCTTCGAGAGCTCCGCCGTGAGCTTGAGTTTTCTGTTCGAGTTTCTTGCATTTGCCGGTCAGTTCATCAAGATCTTTAAAGTTCCTCAAGTTTTTTACTTGTACAGAGGTAACCGTCTACTTCTTTTACTTTTTACTTTTCCATATACTTGTTTTTATTTTTAAACACAAACTGGCACAACACTCTGATTCGTCCGTTTCTCCTCATGAGGTCGGCCGTTCGCCTGGGACTAAGGAATCTAGAGTGGATGGAGCCGACTCCTCCTCTCTTTGGAGTGGGTCCATTTCTAGTGTGTACCAACTCACCCCCACCTATTCTTCTCTGTCCCTGCAGTCGAACATGGCGCGTACGAGGTAAACGTACGAGCGTAATGCAGCAAGAAACCCGGACGGCAGTATGGTCGATCCTTTAGTTCCCAATAATCCAAATGATACGGACAGGGAGAATACAGACGTTATATTCAATGGTAGTGCCTGTTCGGTAGTGGAGGTAACTGCCTCCTCGTCCAGGAAACATGTCCAACAAAATACAACTTCTCAGTCTTCTTCCAGACGGACCAGGGAAGGAGAAAATGTGGCATCTGGCCAAATTCGGTACAATGCCTTTAACAATACACCAGCTCGGTCCTGATGCCGTCCAAGCTGCTATCTTTTGAGAGGCCTCCTACTTCACTTCAAGCGGATGCTAGGTCCGGCCGAGGGGGGTCGTCCGACCAAAATCCCCAATAACCCTCAACACAAATTACCAGGTCGGCCAGGCCACAGACCGGGATCTACATCTCTGAATCGTCCGACTTGCCCCCTCGAAGCGTTCCTCCTTTTGGAAATCAAGCGGACGCTGATGAGGGAAAAAAAGATAAGGGCAAGAGACCCTTGGTGCCAGAGGGCACCGTTGTTACTGAGGCTGACCAAGGCTCCAAGGGAGGAAGCTCGGCCGAGGTCGCTGCTTTGGATACATTGTTGTCTTCAGAGTTTAGTTCGGCTAGGGCCCTGGAACCTCAAGCTTCTGAGCAGGAAGCTGAAAATACGGACGCTGATCAAGCGGCCGAAGAGCCCAACGTCGTAAATTTCATAAACCCATACGCCTGTATTATTGGCAATGTGGCACTGGGCTTTCTGAACCATAAATTCGAGGAGTTCAAGGAATTCCTCAAACTTGGAAGGGGTTACCACATCTCGGCACCAAGGCTTTCGTACACAGTGGCCGCCTAGGAAGGCGAGTCACAAAGGAGGAAATGTTAGCGTTTATCGCGCATCCTTAGAGGTGGGACTTCGCTTCCCTTTACATTCGTTTGTCTAGGATCTGCTGGACAAATATAATATTGCCATTTTCAGCTAGTGCCGAACTGCTGGGTAAACATATTCGGCTACTTGGTGACGTGCCTTAGGCAAGGCATGACCCCTAACGTCCCGATTTTTTGCAAAATTCACTCTATGGTGCGACTGGATGTAGAGGCGAACGGATGACTAGTTTTGAATACCCATAAAGATTACCTGGTAGTTATACACAAGCCATCCAAGTGGCGTGACTAGAAGCACCGATTCTACCGCATTAAAACCAAAGACGTGGAGTTCAACTTGTGGATGAATCGCTTCAATGCCGAGCCTATCCAACTCGGACGGGGGATTCATTAGCCCACCTAGCCACCCATCCATTCTAACAATCAGTTCCAACTCGACTATTTCAAGGTCAAAAAGGTGATCAGGAATGGGAAGTCTACGTCCATTCCGACCCATTGGATTCCACTGGCCGACTGGCTTAAGGATCCAGTGTTCATGTCGGCCTGCAGCCTATACCAGAACTATCCTCAAGGTGGAAACTTTGTGACTTCCACGTTCAAATGTTTTTGTAACTTGAAAATATTCTAACACTTGACTTTTGTCTTCTTATCAGACGAAGCTTTCTTTAAGTTGGACGCCGAGTAGAAAGGGGAAACAGACATATCCGACTTCAGCCTAGAGCGTTACAAGTTTTGTCAATAGCAGTACAAATAGGCTAAGGAGGTAATGAAAGTTGTACCTTTTTTTTTATTTTTATTTTTTTTTGTGCCGAGCTGATATGTTAGGAAGGGTATTCTTCCTAATATTACTCGGAAATGCCTCTTTTCATATATTGTCGAGTTGGTATGTTGGGAAGGATATCTTCTCCAATTTTACTCGGACTGAAAGGAATGGTGTCCTTCCAACAAGTGTATTCTTCCGATAGAGGGTTCAGAATTATTACAGAGCTAATTCTTTAGTAAGGTCAAGTGATCGGAATGCCTAGGTGGAGGCCGCTTCCGATCAATAATATCAATATACAATTGATGTTACAACTTAATCTTAACTGAACCCTTCGGGTCGAACCCAATCGAACCACCGATCCGAGACGACGAATTAATCCGAAAGGACTTAATGAGTCAACAGAGTTTTACGAATACAGACGCCGGAAATCGAGCCTAGGGCGTCGAGACCGAGCGTCGCAAAATCACAAGCAACAAGTATGAGCGTAGCCGTAGCTAGGCTAGGCTAGCTCATCGCAAGCCTAGGCGCCCCATGTGTGTGCTAGGCGCACCATGGTGTACTAGGCACTATCGCAGCCTAGGCGCGGCCTGGCAGCCTATCGCAAGCAATGGGCGCACCAGGCGCACCTAGCAACCCATCGCAGCTCTCGCAACCCTAACAAGTGGCTGGGGACCATTGCTGCCCATTGCAGCACCAGGCGCACCATCGCAGGCACTAGGTGCTGCGTGCGTGCGTGCTTGGCATGGCAGCACCATCGCAGGCACCAGGTGCACCATCGCAGGCACTGGGTGCTGCGTGCGTGCGTGCCTGGCATGGCAGCACCATCGCTGGCACCAAGTGCTAGCATGGGTGCCTGCCTAACATTGGCGCAACATGTATGCTGGCTTGTGTGCTAGCCTTTGCGTGGCAGCACCAATTATCGCACCATGCATATGCGAGAGCCTGGGCGCCAGCATAGTACTAGGCCATGCACAGCAGCCCAACATCACCACGCACCAAGGCAGCTATGTGATGCGTGGGCGTGCGTGTGGTGCGAGGCCAATGCACGCTGTGCATGACTAGTGCGCATGGTGCGTGGCTAGTGCGTGTGCGAGAGATGCTGCGAAGGTGTGTGCGTGGTGTGCAAGGCAAAGGGGGCCAGCATGCGTGGCTCACTAGCAGCACGCATGCTGGGTGTGTGAGCATGTGCGAAGGGTGAAGCGTGGATGCGTGTGGTGCATGGGATGCCAGTGGCAGCACCAGCGCCAGCACGCACCAGCGCCTAGCACTGGCACGCACCAACGCTTAGCACTGGCACGCACCAGCGCCTAGCACTGGCACGCACCAGCGCCA